AGGATTGACAATGCTAAGTGGTAAAGTCAGGAGTGGAGCCAACTGTACGTGTAACACAGCATATATATTTGAAAATAGTGATAAGTTTTGTGCTGCCTGATTATTCCTACTGTTAAGTATTTTATAGTACTTTTGAGGAAAATAAATATTTTGTTTTGTAGTAGTTATAAGATAGCACTATGATATAAAGGTGACTTCAAGTAAGAATTGTGTGTTGCAAGTGTTTGTTAACATCACTTCCTGCTCCCTCTGGGCTGTATGCACTAGCTTCAAACAAAACATCTTTCATCATTCACACTGCTCGTCAACACTCCAGACAGATCTCCAATAATGCTACAGTACAATGAAAGTTGAATAATTTATAAGGTGACAATGGAAGAGAGTAAAAAAAAAAAAAGTGTTTTTGCCGAAATATGCCCGCGTGGGGAGTTCGGCAGGTCTTATGTTGCTTGGGCTTTAAGAGTTAATGATGCGAGATTAAAAAGTTATAGTTTTGATAATTACTTATCCTAATGTTTCATGGAAAAATTAAATTGGTTTTGCAATTGTAATTATATAATTGACACCTATATTTTTTTAACTGATTTTTGGTGTTATTCTGGATGTACTGAAGTAGTTTAAAATATAAATTTCCAATTCCATGATAAAAGGTGTTTATTTTCCAAAAAGAAAAGAAAAAAAATACCATTTAGGCCCAAAATTTTGAAATAAACTACTGTACTATATACTGTACATACAGTATATTTGACTATTAAAGCTGAAATGAAAGAAACTTACACATACTGCATTCTATTGTATGTGTACAGTACTTATACCTAAAAGAAATATATCAATATACAGTAGTAGTATAGGTTGAAACTCGCTAGTCTGGCACCCTTAGGACCTGACTGGTGCCAGACCACAGAAATTGCCCCCCCCCCACGTCTCACACGACTAAGTGCTAATGCCATTGTTATATGTTAAGTAACCACAGAATTTGTGGAAAAGTCTTTCCAATGTGCAAGTGTGCTTTATGAATAAAGAAAATACTGTACTGCATAGGAAAGACGCAGAGTACGCTATCCAAAGTACATGACCCCGCTTATACAGAACAGGTAAACCTTGATTTACGATCTCTCTACTTATGATATTTTGCTTTTACATGAATGATGGCCATCGTCCGGCCAAACTTGCTGACGCACAAAATACTGTACAGGTATCCCTTGTTTAACAATTGGGATGCATTCCTGCAAAACCCATTGTTAATGTGAAATGATCGATAAATGGGGGATAACGAGAAATAATATCCATGGAAACGGCATGTACAGTAATTGTGTAGCGGAGTCTCCGACTCGGCACCCAGAGCGGGTGAAGCTAAGCTGTGAGCTATGTTATTGTTCAACACATAATTTTGGGTTAGATATACAGTACATAATTTTCTTTGTTACTGTATTTTTTACTGTTACATGCATACACAATCACTCATACAGAATGTGCCAAAAAATCAATAAAAGAAATGATTATCATATGGCATAAAATCATAAACATTTCATACCTATGTCCACAGAAGGGGAAATGGGGTGCAGTGTCAGGGATCTCAGCCTCCTCCCACCAGGTCAAGCTTTGAGCAGTGTTATTGTTCTTTTTCAACTCGTTATTTCGAGCAGATGCAATTAAATGCCACATAGCGACGTGTCCTCCTAATATTACTTATTAAGTAATTATTAGATGTTTTAATTGCCTGTATGCTGGCCTGGCGAATTGGCTAGGAATTAACATACCTAGGTAACATATGCTGACGTCGCATTCCGAGCTATATCACTAAAACTGGTTTTTAGAAAAAAACGGCTTTTTCCTTTTACTGTTACATGCGTATACAAGCTTTCATACAGAATGTGCAAAAATAATAATTATTATCATAAAGGTAAAAAATATAAAGGGATTTACCATTTATTATGTGTGTGGGAGCTAGCACAAAAGTTAGGGAGAGGCATTCTCCCTAGGCTCTGCTGTCTCGTGCTAGCGACAAGATTGCCAAATGGCAATGCAGTATTTTTTCTCTTTTCTTTTATTTATTCCTATTATTTTTATTCATTCTTCACATTTACTGGTACAGTAAATATTATTTTATGTAAAAATAGCTTCTTCCACACACAAACCATCTTGTGGGTGATGTGACACATTCAACTACTTAGCCTGGCAATCACCGGGAACAGAACCTCCCTCACATCCTGCGTGGGTTGCACGTGTTATGCCCTCCCATAAGGTAATGTACCAAAGTTAAACAGTATTTTTTTTTTTTTTCATGTGACGTAGTAATTTCATGTGTTAGCAGTAAATTAAAGTAGCTGTGTACTATTTATCATTAATTAAGTTGGTTTTGTTCTCATTTGTGAATAGATATCGTTGTTTTTGGGGTGTGATATAGGGGTGATTTTGTCATTGGGGAACCGAACCCAATATTTCCCATATGTTTTTCTATTTGAGATACAAATGTTCACCAAACAAATAGTTTTTGGGGAACCTAACCCATTCATATCTCAAGGGATACCTGTATATGTACAGTATTTGTGAATATTATTTCTATGGTGTAAACTACATGCACTGTACCTCCAATCTTAACAGTTAATACTGTATCAATACAGTGAACCCTCGCTTTATGCGGTTTCACTTTACGCGTTTCTACATTTACGCGGTACCCTGCCAGAACCGGAATTCCCACTTTACGCGGTGCATCTACTCATGTACGCGGGTGAAGTATAATTTTTTTATTTAGCTCATAAAAGTCATACAAATTATCCGGCCAGAATATAATTTACATTGCTGGAATTCTTACAATTTGATGATCATTTTGAATATAAGCATCATAGATTTTGCATCAGACATACAAATTTTAGATCTAATGCAAGTATTTTGTTTACTCAGAGCAAATATGTTATCTTTTGTGCAAAATATATGAAGTGTATATTCAAAATATTCCTGGTCTTGCAAGGAATCCAGCAATGTCAATTATATTATCCTAACTTTAGTCTGAGGTATTATTTATTACTAAAAATGTAAATATACTGTTATAACCCAATCATTTCTCTGGTAGGGAGGGAAGGTGGGGGTGAGGGGTAGGGAGGGAGGGAGGGACCCAGGGAGCAGGTGGGAAGAGGGGGGAGGTGGGGTATTTTGATTGACAGATAGTATTTCGGTAAGTATATTTTGTTTATTTATTGAAGATATTTGTTTTAGCTCATAAAATTCATACAAATTACCGGGCCAGAATATAATTTATATTGCTGGAATTCTTACAATTTGATGATCATTTTGAATATAAACATCATAGATTTTGCATTAGACATAAAAATTTTAGATCTACTTTAAGTATTTTGTTTACTCTGAGTAAATATGTTATCTTTTGTGCAAAATATATGACATTTACCTGGTATATTCAAAATATTCCTGGTCTTACAAGGAATCCAGCAATGTCAATTATATTATCCTAACTTTAGTTTGAGGTATTATTTGTTACTATACCTTAAAATCTAGTGGTTTTCCCCCAGACATTTCTCAGAGAGGGAAGAGCCAGGAGTGTGAGAAGAGGGGGAGGGAGTTGAGTCCAATATTTGAATGGACATTAACTTTGCGACTGTATTTCTCTATTTCTTTTAAGTATTAACTGTGTGCATGTACCATCATAAAATTAAGATGTTATTTTTACTAGAACATTGGTATTGTGTCGGAAAAAGTGGAGTTTGGGAGTCAGCCGGTCTCTATTTCATTTAATCCCATATGTTATGTTGTTCACTTTACGCGTTTCTCGCTTTACGCGGGCCTCCGTGGGTTCAATTGACCGCGTAAAGTGAGGGTTCACTGTATTCTTCTCGCTGCTTTGACAAGTGACCACCTATACTGAAAAATATTTAATCAGATAGAAAATGTATAGTCATTCAATAGTTTCCTGTTGTTTGAAACACCACTATTTATAAGGAAAATTCATTTCAATGTCTCGAGTTATTAAATCAAAGTTTTCCAAAGAAAAAACTATTTTGTTTTACATGACATATTAACTTAAGACATCAGGTTCCACCTAAGGGTTACTTCTTATGTTTTCAATATTTAAAGAGCTGTGCTGACCAACAAAGATTTTGGGGAATATTTGAACTGTACTGTACTGTAATATCTTTACTTGGATTTGAAACTAATTTAGGATTACAACTGTATTTTGTAACATATAAGTATGCTACCCCAGCATGTTCAGAAAAAAATTACCCACTGCATTCATTCAATGAGAAACATTGATACTTATGCATGAAGCGTAATAGCTGAAAAATAAAGAATTGATCCTGGAAATCCCATTTTATAGCAAAGTTGGGACAAGGAGTCTTGTGTTTTTACCTGTTAAGTTTATGGATTGCAACCCAAATTAATCCTAAGCACTAATTCAAACAATTAGTTTTAACAACCCTATGTATCTACCCAAGAGCAGCTACTCCAAAATGTAAAAAAAATTGAATGTCTACCCCATAACTGGAAAAAAAAAAAATTGTACGTAGTAGTCTCTCCATTTGTTCCAAACAAACAGAGCTAGCAAAGTAATCCTGATCAATTTTGTTTCAGGAAGTCATAACCCATGCTGATTACATAGGTCTCCTTCACTGATCATGGTTTCCTAAATCACAGTTTCCAAATCTCATTGTTTAGTAAAATGCACCGACTTCCTCTTTCACAGTTCCAACTTTCCAATTCTTGTGGTTTCTTGGTGTTGGTAAGTTTCACCAAAAGATGGTGCCAATACATCTCTCATTATGGCTCCTCAGTGTGGGTGGATAAGTACAATACATTAATGATTCTAATAGGTAAACTTATCTACAAAACTTGCACAGGGATAACACAAGTAACAAAATGTTTTCATCAAGGTTGGAGGAGGTGAGGAATCTTGCATGTCTTTGTTGTTATAGTAACAAATGCTCTCCTCTGTTATTAGCTTATGAATGTGAGGCCCATGGAAATACCAGGACATTAATTCTCAAGAGTTTGTAATTCACATTTTAATTATGTTTAATGAATAACAATAATACTGATAATAGCCTACAATAATACTAATAAGTATAATTATTTTAAATGATGCCACCTACAAAAGCACACGCTGAGTGACACAGCATCTTGGTTGTTTACAACATGTACTTGCTCAACGCTGCTCAGGCTTTCTTGTATGTGCTGTAAGTTGATTTATCTGCCAATTTCTCTCTAATTATTGGTCCTAAAAGGTTTTAGGCAAGTGGAGGTGAACCAAAAGTTTGTGGTTATATTTCTTATAGGACATTACCATGTCCATTTATATGACTTTGTACTTCAATTGTATACAGTACTTTCTGGGGTAAATAGTGGATGATCCAGGAACATAATGGGTTTCCAATTGCATGATCTTGTTAAGGAGGGAAATATGAAGTGAGAGAATGTCTGAAGCCATAATACTGTAGCATTAAATGACAACATAAATTACCCACAATAAATACTAAGTTCAAATACAATGCAAAGTTTAATAACTTACTAAATTATTTCAGACTTTTTTTAAAGATTTATGATAATGAATACAAAATCATTTCACAATAATAAGCTCAATGCTGCCAACACACTAACAGCATGTGCATATAGCTGTTAATATCAACCAGTACTAAATAAGGGGTTAAGTACAACTCAGCTTTGTTATGAAGTAGAGCTATCCAGAGAATGACTTGTATTAAGTGTGGAGATTGCTAGACTGAGATATGATACTGAAAATTATAGTTTGCCCAATGATTGACAAGGAAAGGTCTGATGTGCAAGCCACTGTAGCACCAAGAGTTGTGTAGGTCGCAGCCTTAAATGGTAAATCTCTGACTCCTAGACCCTTTGCCAAGAGCTACGTTTGTTACAGGAAATGTTTACTTATTGTTTGAAATAGTGCCAGCTATCAACATCAAGGGTTAGCCTGGGTTGTAACTTGTTGACATGATGAGTACAGAAAGTCTCCTTGGACCAACATCAGGCAATAAAAGTTTTCTTAATCTAAGCCTTGTATGAGAAAGACACTTGAAAGAAATATTTGAAAAAAGACAGGGCTCTGGATTTGCCCGAACAGCTTGAAGTTTAAACATCATCATATAAAATAATTAAATTTCACTGCATGCAATTCAAGTTCCTTTGTGAGATGACAGTGAAAATTTATATAAAATTCAGAATTCTCCATCAAAATAATTTATTTATGATTTTATTTATGCTATGTCAAGGATATTGAAAAAGAGCTTATGACAGAGATTTTACCAGATCAGTCATTGTTTTTCAAGACTGCAGAGAAAGACGGAAAAGACACAGTAGTACAGTACATACAATAAACACTTAGTTATCAAAGCAGGAGTTGCTCACCCATCTCTTGGCAAGAAGAGTATGTATACAATAGATGCTACACACTCCAGTCTAATAATGCACTGACAACACATAATGACCATACAGTAATAATCTTTATATCTTTTCCTTGTCGTCACCAAGAGCACTATATCAGAGTTCATATTGTCCCAACACAAAAACCACTGGATAATTATAATCATACTAATATGTAATTCACAAAGCACATATGATGTTTGCTCAGTACTATTTTCATTATTATCACTGGCAATACATTGCTGCATATTAAATACATTTTTATTTTCAAATAAAATGTTCTAGCACCATGTTTGTTTCATATTCTTAATTACTTGCTATAGTTTCCCATTATTGAAATGGGTATAGTTAATGGTAAGTAACTAATGGCTGTAGCAATTAACAGTATCACCTGGTCCACAAAGATACCTACAATGAGACACTTTATTATTTACACTGATCCCACCACAGGAGAGAAGGACCACCCAGGTCCTTGTAAGAAACAAGTAACAAGTCTTGGCAATATCACATTTGTTTCAATGTATAAATATTGAATACTGTATGTACAATTCCTAGTGACCCACATGAACTAAATTTAGTAAAGATTAATTTTCTTGGATATCGGTTTACGACACATGTGGCAAGTCTTGAGGGTATGAGCACATATAACACAAGCACCATGACCACACAAAAATGCAACATTGCGTCGACGCTCCATACAGATGCTGCAACAATGGGCTTCCTCAATCTCAGCAATCTTGGTCTCCAAATACCTCAATCTTTCAGCTGAGGGCTGTCTTGACTTGCTTGAGACTATTCTTCCATCTGAAATTTATAGTTTTACAAGTTGGACAGCTAATAGACCCTGGTCTTTTTTTTTTCTTACCTGATGCTACTAAGCTAAGCAGCCCCCCAACTCACTGATTCATACATAATGTTCGATTAATATTGATATAATGCAAATAAACCCATATATTGTATAACTGTTAACGATACCCAGTTCTAACTCACTTTAATGCCTGATTTAATGTATGTAAAGATATAACTGCTTGAAACATTAACTCTCAAGAAAGGAGTGGAAAAATGTTTGAAATAAATAATATTTACTGTCAAACTCGCGAAAAAATTCACGCTTTCGGAGAACACATTCACCACTACTTCTTCTCTTTTCACTACTTATTATGTACAGTAAGATCTTGTATTTCGCAAGTAATATAGACTGGAAAAATTGCGCCAAATTCAAATTTGCCAAATGCAAATACATAAACTAATGGAAAAAATAACAATATAGACTGGCCACTCTACATCAACCTCAAATTTTGCCATTTATAACCTCCAAATGATACAAATTCTGCCTTTATAGACTTGATTGTGCTTTCCGGAAATTTGTTTTTAGGCCTTCCTCGAGTAATTTAATCACACGCTGGTGGACGAGTGGAACAAGTTACCAAATATCATCATTAGCTCGAATACGCTGGATAGCTTCAAACATAGGTTGGATGGATATATGAGCAATAGGGGTTGGGTGTAAATGGGACTGCTCAGTATGGGCCAATAGGCCCGCTGCAGTTTCCTCCATTCTTATGTTCTTATCCTGCATCGAGTACTTGGCAAACTTAACTCCCTTATGATAGTCCCGATTCTCCTTTTCAGTACTTGGCCGCTTAGGTGGGTCTGTCCCACCAGCACCAGTAGGACCCCCAGTAGAGGTAGAGGCCATTATCTTGACTCGACAGGTGGTAGCACCACCCAAAAAAGTGCACAATAACAGCCCGGGTGGTCGCTAGGATGGCGCGGGCTACAACGCGATAGTTGCGTTCTTGTAAACCTATTTTATGTTCACCACCGGCAATTCAATCAACAGAAAGCTTCTTGGAAACATTCTTCTTACCTTGTCTTTCCATATTCATCGCTAATACAACAAAATTGGAGAAAATAGCGAAAATCACGGAGTAATTGACAGAAACCGCCTGATTCAACTGATCACGTGATGTAAACATGAAGCGCTGGTGTAAACCATTATTAGTCCTCATTGCGAAACATTCTTTTTATACAGTAATTATGGATAACAGCTAAATTTGAAAAAAATAAATAAAAACTTAGAGTACCTCTCAAAAAACACTTGACAAACAAAAGACACGAATCAATTAAACATGTGATGTAGAACGTGAACTGTAAACATTGCATAACCCTGCGCTACGCTTAAAACTTTGAGGATGGAATCGCACTATAGCCAACATTCGTATGTAAAAGTTCGCGCTTTACAAACAGTGTTCCCCTATTCATCAATCACGTTGACAAAACACGCGTCGTAGCAGAAACGACTGAAACTGGTATGAGGGCTGTGACGTCATTCAAGATGGTAGCCAGCATTCAGCTGGCTGGATCTCGCGAAATTCACGATATATTATGCCAAATATAAGATTTGGTTACATAAGGTAGTGCTCGCGAAATTCAAAAATGTGAAATATGAGATCTTACTGTATATCAAGACAAATGACATGAAACATATAAAGCAACAGAAATAATTAACATTTTATAAAGAGTAGAATCAAGTCTAAACATCACATTCACGTACAGGTGTCGTTTAACCCTTAACAGTTTACACGGATTTATTTGCAATATTTCAATATTACTCGAACATTATGTATGAGTAATACGCTGGGGGGCAGTGGTTTCTTAGCCTGGTATAGTAGTCAGCTAAATACAGTAACTAAAAATAAATAAAAATTTAGACATCGGTATTTCAAGAGTGCACATAATCATTAAAAACAAATACTGTATATGTCAGTATGTTCTATAGATTTTCAGCTATATTCCCATTACACTGTACCCTCTTTAATTAGGATCATTATAATTCAGATTTCGGCTTAATTTCTACGAAAAAAAAAAAATCAATCAATAAACTATTTGAATTTAGACTGAGTCTGAAATAACCGAGTGGTTCCAAAAAGTCGCCTTGGCTGCCACATATAATATTCTATTTATAATTACTGTGTGAACATAATTATTTTTTTAAATGTAAATTCTTCATCATAGAAGTTAATCATGACAGATCTTCCTAGTACTGTATCATTTAACTCACAAATTCTCACTTGTTATATAATATCATCATATTTTTAGCCTTCCTTTATATATTTCCTAATTAATTCATTTAATTATCATTTTATATTGCATAAAAATTTCCAACCAAGATGATCTGGAAGTGCACAGAGCACCATAAGAAGCAAAAGTAAAGTCATGAATTATCAGCTTGAATGAAATAAAGTGAGTCAACATTTCCACATTACAGTACAGCATACCATGACAATTTGCGGACCTTGATTATTTGCGGATGACACCCTGGATGTACCAAAGAATGTCTAAGGGTAGTTTTAAAGTTGCTGGCATTTTCGTGGCCGGGACAGTGGTCCATTCATTCTGGAGACAGTAATTTCTTTTACCTGTACAGGTGCTCCTCTATTTAAGAATGTTCAACTTACAAACTTTCAGAGATACAAACATCATCACTAAGGGGGGTTACCTGCCAGAACAGGTGTTTAATGTGGATGAGACTGGATTATTTTGAAGAAAATTCCAGATAGAACAAACATTACCTAAGAGGAGAAGAGTGAGCCAGGTTTTAAGGCTGTATTAATGGGTATAGCTGTACTAAATATACCATAATCTTTTAATTTTTTACAATATGTTTGGTATCTACAAGAGTAAAGTTGGGCTTTCAAACAAGCCTCAGGAACGTAACTCCTTCGTAAGTAGAGGAACACCTGTATTGTATATGTGTGTGTGTGTACACACACACACACACACACAAAGCACATACAAATAATATAATAGGAAAGTCCTCTCACAAATAATCAGAAACAAGACAACAAAATGTATTAAAAATATTAGTCTACCCTCAAGTCAATACCGTGCTTACTTATAACTTTTCCATCACAAAATTCTAATTTTGTGATAGGATTTTACCCATTATTATTTATTTGTATGTGTTTTGTGTGTTTTATGTGTATGTCTCCACACACACACACATATATACAATACAGGTAAAAGTAATAATTGTCATAAGGACAAACACATAAAGGGAATATACATTTCTTTCCATATGAGTAAAAATGTAACACCCCCGTCAGCAAATGTTATTCACAGATTTGGCTATTCGTGGCCATTTTGAGAACCTAACCCCGCAAATTTGAAGGGCATGCTGTACTTGAATTTTTCATGACTACTGTATTCACTCTCTGAAAGTACTGAACAACTTAAAGTTACTAACTCACCTTTTGTAACTTTTGAGACTACTACCTCATGACACTGGAAGCATTTTTTTACTCTACTGGAGCAGTCCTCACATGTAACACAGTGTCCACACGGCTGGAAGATTATGTTTGAAGGACACTCTAGGCAGATGGAGCAGTCTACTGTGCTCTCTTCTGCCTGAAAATAAAGGTCATATTAATAAAATATTCTCACTAATATAAACTGATTATATACTTTGCAATTATCCCTATTTAACATTAGAAGGACAATTGCACAGAAGGATGCATATATATACAAAAAGAGGAAGCTTGCCACTATGACTCCCATGCCTGGAGTGGTATGGGACAACAATCTTTACTTCCTATTTCACAGTTTCGTAGTATGACAATCCCAAAGAACTGGAGACTGGCACAGTTCAAGGTTTTCAAAGGACACACATTTGAAAAACAGCTTTTTAATATTAGCTTAATTATAGAAACAAACATCAATATTCATCATGATGACAATACTATTAAATAACACATTAGGTCCTTATTTACCCAAAATGTTAATAACCAAAAAATATCCAATACTGTATCTGAAGAAAAAGAGAGAAAAAAGAAGACTCGAACCGTTCATATATTACTTTATTACAAATGTCTGACAATCATCCATCATACAAAAGTGCCATTGTGTTTTCAGAAGTAGTGGGTGGTAAGCCACCCTGGGCATTGTTGACAAGCCACTAATTCAGTAGACAGCATATGGTTCACATTCATTGTGTGTTTCCTAATAACCTTTTCAATACAGTACAGTATTACACCTCCAAAATAGAGATGGTGGGGATTGTGGTTATAACAATAGAAATAATTTTAGTAGTGAATGACCACTATTGCTGACAATGTTGCCAGTGTTGGTGTTAACTCCCTAATTTAGAAACAATTATACAGATGATATTTTGTAACTGAAATGTTCTTTTCTTATTTCTCTAGAACACTTACATGCCTATAATATATACAAAAGAAACCTAAAAGCAAATACATGTATAATAAGTGTTCAGTTACCATTATAGGGGGAATAACTTAAGTGATTCCCATTATCCAAAAATTCAATACTGTAATCTGTGATCCCAACCATTTCAGACATAAAAAGCATAACAATACTTGTCAAACTCACACATTTCCCTTTGCTATATCTATCCTGCAGCCTAAAGTATTTTTTCTCCTTCCATTTTTACCAGTTCCAATTTCCTTAAAGTTATGACTACTCCAAGAATCAAGACTTCATGTCCAGTCACAGGAAGAAGTCCTGTCAATCCTCCATCCCCTCTATGCACCTGAGACTCGTGAGCCTTTTAATCCGAGACATCACACATTGTGCTGTCTGTGGGCCCAACAATGTGTGATATCTCACATTCACAGCTTCACGAGTCTCGGGTTCATGGATGGGATGGAGGATTGACAGGACTTTTTCCTGTGACTGTACATGCAATATTATTATATGTTATTATGAAAAGAAATGTGGCTTTATAAGTCAAGTGAAAAACTGCCATAGTGACCCTCGGGTTAAGGATGGATACTTTGATAGGCACCTGTCACTGCATGAAAATGGTAAAAGAAAACTAGTTAATATACAGAAAAAAACTACATAAGTCTTACCTTTTCCATATTACAGTCATTTTGTGGCTGAGGTGATGGTATTACCTTGTCAAGTTCACCTGACACCTTAGTTGGACTAACAGGCTGGGAATGAGACTGTGGCTTAGGCTGCACGGAAGAGTTGGATGGGGAGTCAGGGGAAAGGTTGTCTAGACTTCTACGCCGAATGCTCTCAGCAGCTAAATCCAATGCCTTGAGATCCATGTCAACACGAGCCATACTTCCTCCACTGGTGTGTAATAAAATTGCGTAAATATAATATTTACCAATGTTCAGCTTAATTCTAAATTTCAACTGTGACTTATAAGTAATATTCATTTGGAAAACAAAACTTTAGATTTTCTTTATAAAATTAATTCATCCAAAGACACCCCTAAGAAGGAAAATTCATAAATAAATTATTAAAGTATGAAATCCCATTGTATGCATGACAGGAATAACGGAGTGATCTGAAATACCTACCACCCCTAGACACCCTAACAGAATCTACCATAGAAACCGGGCTGTACTAGCAGTATGACACAGTTACTCACTGAGTCAAATCATGTTTCTGAACCTCTGTTCTGGTGGCAGCCTTGTTCTTCTGGTGAGTCATCTAGTTAAGGTATTAGTACTCTCAGTCAGGCTAAAGTATCTTGTACCATCAAGCTACTGTATAAAGGGGGTTTCAAACCTCAAATACTACCAACTTCTATTTCTGTTTAAGGGATGGAAACCAGGTCACCCAATTTGCCTGTTAAGTAATAAAATGGAATTTCATTCTTCAATCCTTCATTTGTGACCTATGGCACCTCAATGTGCAACCACTGTGATTTTAAACTAGCAGAGGAAAAGGAGGTCATGTGTCAGGAGAACCCTTTCATGGGTCAAAACTAACACATGCACCTTGTATAATGCTTAGAACCTCACACACTGAACCATGGAACCTAATTTCATTAAAAATAGAAATGACATTCCTTTCTTATATGCAAAGGAGGTGGTAAACCCTCTTATGTCATCTGCTTTGTAATAGTGCAAAGGAGGTGGGTGGTTTATCATATACTACATTCAGTAAAAAAACTACCGTTACAATTCCTGCGCAAAACAAACTGACACTACAAACGAAGTGTTTCAAAAAGGCCCCCCGAAACATTCCTTACATTGGTAGCCCTGAGCGTGTTTGAGTTCGGCCACACTTGCTCGAAACAAGTGATTGGCATTGAAATGGCACTGAAACGAGTCAGAGTCAGTGTTGCCACACTCACAATTTGAAACTTGAGTGTCTCATTTCTCCATGTCGAATACACATTGTAAGCGGTGTTGTAGTAGCCTAATATTGTGATTTATGTAATTAGTGCTACCGACATTTCCTGATATCTTACATAAAAAATTTGTATGTTTATGAACTGTGGAGCTATTCAGATGTTTCGGAACAGCATGGTATATTTTCTAATACGAATAAAGAATGACATAATGTAGCATTAGCCCAAAGTGAAGTAGCAATACAAATACAGATTCAAAATTCGGTTGCAAAATAATCTTATACCTTTACTATATCCACTAATTCTGCCAAACATATAATGCATTACTATATGGCAATTCATCCACTTCCATGGTTACTGACATTCTCCAGTCATATTGTAACAAAGTAATTCAATATTGTCAATGAAATAGCTTATTTTGGCCTACCAAATTAAATACGAAATGTCTGATTCAGGCCTACCAACCCTCATGAGACAACGGGAATGTTCAATTGGAAAATCATTAGACCCCACCTGTACGGCAGTTTTTTACCAAAACTGCGTGTACATAACCTCAACTTTAGAGGTATCCCTCGGTTAACGAATGGTTCGATTAACAAATGAGCTCCCATAAGGATCTTCAATTCGGTTAACGAACAAAACTTCGATTAACGAAATCCTTACGACAAACACGTTTTGTTGTGAGCATCAGCTGATCGGCTAGTCCGCCAATACAGTAATCTGTTCTATGTTTACATTTGTTTCCAGTGGAGTAAATATCAAGAAGGTTGTGTTCTTGAATATTTTTGCATTTTTTATATTAAAATTATTGGTCATTCTAAAGTTTAGCCATCCAAGCTCTGTCTATATAAAGTTTTTCAACTACTATTTTTGGCTCGATATATGTAACTTTATTCATTTATTGAAACTCATTTACATGCACACATTGTCCTAAGGGCAAAGCTGTACTGTACATGTAATCAAAATAATGTACAAAATGATTACAAAATTTTTTGTCAAGTGCAAACTATCGCATGTTTACATTCAAATTAATCACTATCTTATAAGAATTCCAGCAATGTAAATTATATTCTCCCAGGTCACTTCTGTGACATTTTATAAGCAAAAAACAGAAACTCAAGCTAAAGGACATAAATAAACAAATAAATACTTCACTAGACCTTCGGCGCCAACTGTCAAACATGTCACTCACTCCCTCCCTCCCTCCCCCACCCCCATCTTCCCAGCCAGGGTTTGGTGTTTTAGGCTTAAAGTTTTCCTCTTATATAATGTCACAGACTAAAGTTAGGAGAATATAATTTGTACTGCTGGAATCCTTGAAAGACAGCGAATAATTTGAATATAAATGTCATATATTCTGCACAAGAGATAAAAAAAAATTGCTCTTTGTATGTCTAATGCAAGCTACAGTATAGCATGTTTATATTCAAATTAATCACTATCTTATAAGAATTCCAGCAATGTTAATTATATTCTCCCTTGTCAGTTCAGTGACATTTTATAAGATAAAAACTTAAAGTCACTCTTAAGGTTAGATAAATAAATAAGCACTAGACCTTGGCATCAACTGTCAAACATATCACCTCACCTCCCCCATTTTCCCAGCCAGTAAACAGACTATTTCGCATCCCTTAATTTTAGCTGTGTTAATTTATGAGTGTTTGTTTTAACATAATACTACAAAAAACAATGTTTTGTTTATTCTAGGAGATGGGCTGATGTGCATCTGGGTAGACAATCAGTCTTTTTAGTATTTTGTGTTTCTCTCCAGTACTGTACCAAACTAAATTATTCCATTGAAACAACACTTCGATTTAGCGGGGAATTCGGTTTAAAGAGACCTTTCTTGGGACATGGAACATATCTCGCCTTAAATCATGTTCTACTGTAGCTGTTGTTTCTAATGTGATACAGCAAGGTATTCATCCCAATGACCATTGATTCTGACTTTCAAAGAAACTACCAAACGAGGGTCAAACCTTGCTCCATAATTTCTGAATCAACAGACAAGGAGCTGTTTATAATAGCCTTTACAATGATGCATCTGGACAATGATCCAGCCTCTCAATAAACAAGGCCCCCTGGAAGAGGTGGGCTCTGACAGAGGTTGCTCATATGGTAAATCTCATAAGTCACTGATGAATAATCCATAAGCAATAAAATGTGATGACAATAGTACACCCAGTCCTCGCTTTGTTTCGTTATAACGTTGCTACTACTTTTTAGATACCCATGATTCTGACAACGTTGTTTTACGACCCGACCGATTCGTTATAATGTTGTCACACAACACGGACTTCTTTGTATGGTGCGCCACCCTCTCTCATCTTGGCGCGCTACGCTCTCTCACAGAGAGTCACAGCATCCCTAAGCATTTTCTACCCAGTCTTTGTTAAGCTTCCACAGCGTACGTGCGTGCTTAAGTGTTTTTGCTATAAATACTGTACTGTAACCATTCAAAATGGCTCCCAAGCACCCATCAAGTGTTAGTGATGCTAGTGTTGTGAAGAAGCAAAGCAAGACCATTAGCCTTGCTACGAAAATGGAGGTTTTAAACCGTTTTGAAAAAGGTGAACGTGCTGTGGACATTGGTGTAGCGTTAGGCCTACACCCCCACAAAAGTGTGTACTATCCAGACCAGCACAGACAAGATTAAGGCTTGTGCTAGAAGTGGTACTTCTATGAGTGCTGGGGAACATAACTAGCGTATTTTATCTATTTCTTATGGGGGAAATTAATTCCGTTAACATTGTGTTTTATAAGAACATAACCACGACGTGAAGCGAAGACTTCCTGTAATTATAACAATATAATTTCTTTGAATTTTACATTTTCAATTACAGTTTGCAATATAAAGTTAATAGCACATACCTGGCCCCTGTTGTATAACTCTGCAGAAGATCAATGGTGTTTGGGTCATTGATGAGATCCAATGGAGTCTTTGAGCGGTTATTGGCAACAGTCACATTACAACCCTTCTGGGCCAAGTAACAGGCAAGTGCCAGTGACACATTATTTTCAAAGCCACGTTGGGCAATGTCAGTCAGGATCTGGTTAAAAGAATAAGCTATATTATATGATCATTAGCTACTTTGGCCTTACATTATTGTTACATAATTACTACAATTTAACAGATACAAGATGATGTAATAAAACATGTAGTCAAATACACAAATGGATGATGAATCTTGAAATTACATTTCATGGCCAAAGGTTAAGGTAAGTGATCCACATTTCTAGTACTGGTACACTGAATCCTCAATGACTGAGCTCCTTTCATCACGGTATGGTAATCAACAACTGAAAGCATTATTCTCTCGAACAATGTCCTTTCTCTCACCAACCCACTTTTACAGAAATGGAACTCGGCATTATATGTACAGCTTAGCTCCCTCTTAACTAGCAAGGCAGGATGGAAACAAATAAATTCCTGCACATCTCACATATTTCTGCCATAAATATAGGTTTCTGAGGAGACAATGCTAACTTGTAGCCATTTTAATATCGAACCCTATTTTCTTTCAACAGCAGTAACAACTGGGAAATGATGTTGCATCTATGAGTGGCACTCATAGTGGGGATGAGGTACTGTGAGCCTGCTTTGTAACTTGAGATAGTTGGGTTACAGATTGTACTGCGAGCTGCATGGCACATGACTCCTCAAATTTCCAGCTTAAAGGCAACTTCAGGGAAGGAAAGAGGAAAACCTTTACATTATCCTCATGCTTTAGTTTGGGGTTACTTGGACCAAATCGACTTGGCTCTGGCAGTATATTACACACAAGTCATACCAAAGTGGTTAGAATATAAAACCAGTCAAGCTTTACAAAGAAGTTATGAATGCAGAGGCATCTGGTAATTCAATATATTACTGTATTGGATTCTGAAACGGATAACAACATATGACCAAAACCTAGTCAACATCTTCCACCAAAAAAGACACACTAACACTCTCATAATGAACCTGAATGAATGAATGAATGAATGAGACTGAGTGATAATCCAAACCATTGTTAAGTTACTTCCCAGAAACCACTACTGACATTGTCAAAATTTCTGTATGCTGAAAGACAAATCTCATGCAAATTTGTATAGAAACTCATCATAGAATACAGTAATAATAAGATTTATTTTTTAAACATTAAATTGATGATTAATCTCACTTGACATTACCATAGTTACTAAGATCAAAGTGGTCACACTTATGGTAAATGTAAATGGAAAACTGTGATTATCAAATAAAGCCTTAATATCATTGATAAGAAGCTCATTATTATAATGCATTTGAATCTGGTAATTCATACAATACTTTAGTAATTGATCTGACATCACACATATAGCTGCCTAAGTTCCATAACCAAATACCTAATGCTGAAATCAAATGAAGGCCAGTGAAGACATACATATTGAAAGGAAGAAATACAAACCAACCAAGTCAACAGCATCAGAATTAAAACCTACTTTTATCAGGTCAAAATAATGCCAAGTCAGCCGAAATTAGCACAGCACAATAATTACCTGGGTGATGGTTGGTGCATGAGTAGGGTGAGCCTGGGGGATGGTGGAGTTCTTCAGGAGAGCCAGGTGGAGCGTTGTGTCCCCATCTTCATCACACGCCCGGATGTCTGCATTACTGTCCACAAGCAGCTCTACCACACCACAGTGACCCTGGCAAAATTAAAATATTCTTGTCTAATACTACCGAGATGTATTCATTATTCTATTCAACTTCTTCTATATTTAAAGATTAATTACATATATAATAATATTCACTAAAACAGTAGATAAGAGTTTTTAAGTATGGGAACACCAGAAGCTCTCAGTACAGTACTTTGAACACAATACAGTAGTCCATTTACTCTTTAAGATGCAGTGACAAGAATGCAGTGACCAGAGAAAAGAGTATGACTCGACAGTGAATTGGTGTGCCAAAGTCTATAGCTCCCTCAGCTGTGAGTTTATTATAGGAGCTGAATATCGCAGAGGAAGTTAAAAAAAATATATATATATTATGATTTGTAAAATCTAAATACAGTGGTCCCTTGGTTAACGAACATTAAATATAAACTAAATACAGTACAGGACTGTACTGTACAGTATACTGTACAATAATAAATAAAAAACAATAGAATACTGTATTTTAACTTATTTGTGTGTACCGGGTATGTCGTATTCACGGCAGCTTTGTTTACATATCAAACAGCTGATTGTAGAGGCAGTCGATGATGACATGCCATAATCTTTGCAGAGTGCAATGGTTCTAATGCCTTCTTCATGTTTCATAATAATTTCTGCACTGTATATTATCAATATGTTAACTAAATTTCAGAATGACCAATAATTTTAATGTAAAAATGCAAAAATATTCAAGACACACACAAACTGGATGTTCATTCCACTGTACACAAAGTTAGACTGAGAAGCGTTGTTGGGTAATTCAATCACCTGATTTGCGCACAAAAACTGTTCCCTGTACAGTACTGTATATATCATCAATATGTTAACTAAATTTCAGAATGACCAATAATTTTAATAAAAAAAATGCAGAAATATGTAAACATAGAACTGATTTCTGTATTGGCGGACTGGCCAATCGGCTGATCAGCTGATGCGCACAACAAAACGTGTTTGTCGTAAGGATTTCGTTAATCGAACTGAAAATCCTTATGGGAGCTAATTCGTAAACCAAAATTTCATTAATCGAGCCGTTCGTTAACCGAGGGACCACTGTATTTCATTAGCATAATTCTCACAAGAGTCCATTTCCAATCATTCAATGGCAAATGTGAAAGAGGGACACCCACAGTTTTGCCAACAAGCCCACAAACAGCATAACAAGTCGCTGTTGCCACCTGCTTCTTATTGCCACTTTTCTGAATGTATCATACAAAAATTTCCCCCACTGCCTGATATATCAGGTAAAGTAGTAGTATTCCTATCAGTGCCACGATGGCTGATTCTGACAGACTGAGAACAGTGGTCTCATCCACCGAGCTCTTGCTTATATTGGTCACAGAGTAAGTGTCTATGGGTCCTGTGTTCAATTGTCAGATGTACAAGAATTTTACAGGTGAGGAATTGCAGCCTCTGAGTTTGATTTTTGGTGGAAGCAAATTATTTATAGATCTAAAGGCAATTCTGTCTATATATATCATATCTATATCATCTAGAGAGTTTGTCTTTTGTTATTGGCAATGTCAACAGCAGCTTGACCTAATGTGATCAATGTCTCAGCTACTTGTCGATGGCCATTGAGGGCTGCCAGGTGCAGTGCTGCGAAGCCATCTTCTTTCCGTACATCTACATACTGCCTTGAACGCAAAACTAGCTTCTCAGCGGAACTGTAATTAATTATTTTTTTAAAGACATGTACTGGTATGTAGAGTATTTACTTTTTTATTTCAGTCTCCAAATACAGTACTGTACTGAATAGGAATGTGAAAAAATTTAGGAGAAAATGAGGGATACTGTTTTCCTTTATACTGTATATACATGAAACTAATATTGTAAATACACACATAATTAAAAGTTAAAGCAAATAAGAAACACTTATTGTTTTCTGAGAAAAAATTTAAACACCAATATTCATAGATTTTAATAATTTCTAAATACTGTCCTCTATACAGTCACATTTCTAATATTTAAAAGTCTGTACAATCTTCACGTTTATAATTTCTCAACCTTAAAGAATACTGACATGTGGTGTTGCCTAAGAAACCACCAGTTGTCTACACAAAATTTAATTAAGATACTGTATTGGTTTCCTAACAATGTTATCCAAGTCATTTTTATACATAGCTGTTACATCACACTTCACCTTTCACACACAGTAATAGTAAATATCAGTATGTCAAATATGTTAATTCTGAAAATTTCAAACAGATGCCCATTCTGTTGAACAACATATCCTCCTGAGGTGCAGCTTCAAAATGCTTACAAGTAATGCAACTTTGGTTGCGTCAAACTATGTTTAATTAATTAGGACATGTGTATCTGGCTGATTATGGGCTCTTTTACAATATCTTAAGTACATACATGGATCTAATTTATCATACTCAGTTTCAGCTTATGCTACAGACTTACAAGTTATTGCCCTTCAATGCAGCATGATGAAGAACGTTGAACCCTCGCTTGTTACGCAGTGCTAAGTCCAGGTGTGGCGAGTTACCAAGTAGTTCCAGAATTTCTATGCTCTCTTTCCCAATAGCATCATGTAAAGCAGTGTCACCATATGAGTCCTGTAAAGATAAGGTCAAATAATTAGTACTACAAAGCTCAATCAGTAAATTGAATTTATTTTTTGCAAACTTGTGTGATATGTATACTCAGTAAAAAAATTATCTTTCAGGAGGGGTCCGATGAATTTGGAACTGGACAATCCTGTTGTCTCGCTAGGGTTGGTAGGTGTGATTGTGAGACGTTTCCTACTTATTATGGAAGGCCTAATTTAGTTATTACATTCAAAATATAAAATTAGTTCATTGCATTATGATTGGTGAATATCAGTATGCCTCACGAGCCTTTATCAAAAAGCTTCATTTTACCGAGTGTACAGTACAATACTATATGAGGCGCTCAGCATTAGAAGGGGGTGAAGCGCCACCCCGGGCATAATGCGTTTTTTTATGGATATCACTATTTTCACCATTCCTCTACCTGTTGGCGTTGGATGTAACCCCCTTGCCAGAATAGAAATATGGTTGAAAGTCCTTCAAAAATAAGGTGTCATTTCGCCTCAAGCCGGGAGCTACGTATCTGGCTACATATATAATATATGAGAGGATAGCTCGCCTCACGCGGACCATACCCCGAGTCAGCCAATCACAATGGATTTCCCTTGCTTCGTCACAGCTCCTCGACCAATTCGCGAGCCCAGATGCTGCCTCCTTGTTAGTTTTGGCACGTTGTGTAGCATAAGGTGGTTCAGTGTACTTTCTACTGCTATTTTTTATAACTTTTCGGTGTAACATTGACATTATTTGTGCTCCACAGGTGTGAGAAGTGCTGTGCAATGTCTGCCCGATTTTAGAGCAAGACTCAAGTGAGGCCATTCCTTCTGGTGTGGGTTCAGGAGCCCTAAATCCTGAGCGTGTGTTTAGTGACGACAGTGCTCACGTGGACACCCCAGCCATCCTTGGTGATAGTTATTTTGGTGGTGAATTTAGTAGTGATTATGGTGATGCAAGTGCTACTGGCGATGGTGCAGGTGACGTGCATGAGAATGTTGGTGATGAGCTACCTGGTGATGTTGGGGAGCCTAGTGTTGGTGGAGCACCACGTGATGCAGATTGCATACCCCCAAGGCCCTATAGAAAACAAAAGGCAGGATGAGACAGCGTAGGGTTGACGAGTGGGCACAGGCGGTTGCCAAGCGTAAACGTAATTTGATTATGATGAGGCCATTAAAGTTATACGCACTTCTCAAGATTTACGTAACTTCAACTTACTACGATTTTCAGGGATAATAAAAGGAAGGAACTAAACAAAGTAAGATTGTAATACTATTATCATGATACTGTTTTTACCAAAGATTATGCAAACTTTCTCCGCATATGTATTCTTATGTTAATTACGTGGGGTGGGGGAGGGAGAGGTTAATGGTGGGGGATGAGTGTAGTGGTGTTTCCATATTATTACACACTATTATACTTAACAATATTATAAATCTTTGGCTAATATGGAGGAAAGATAAATACTGATAGGCAAATGAGTTTGTTATTATTTATTTATTTATTTATTTTTTTTTTTTTTGGGGGTTGTGCGTAAGACTAGTGCTGTTTTTAGTGATCATTAACTTGTTTTACAGTATTAGCCCATAATAATCGAAGATTTTTGCAGAAAAACATGATTATTGTTGGTTTGAAGATCAAACAACCATACATGATGGGTAGTAATTCTCATTCAACTCATGATAAAATAATAACTATTCATAGTACTAACGTTCAGTTTTTACTGTTTGCTAGGATAGGGATTGAGCTGCACGAAAAAAATAATAAACCCTATAGCTTAAAAAACAAAGTTATGGTTGTTTGAACTTCGAAAAACTTTAAATGCATTTTCTCCGCTTTTCAAATTTGGCGCTTCACCCCCTTCTAATGCTGAGCACCTCATATGTAGAATTAAATACTATTCAAGAAGTAGATCAGTTGGCTTTAGCCACTCCTATGAGAACTAATACAAAGAGAACGGAGAAACTTTCCTTTCTCTTCCTGACTGATCTTTTCTTTGACATCCTTACGACATCATAATCATCATCACTATTTTAAAACCATTTTCCAAGTTTGTGTGGGTTAGCTGTGATTACACTGCACCTGGCTGTAACTTTAAAAGCTGCACAGTAGGGTGCCCGGTCGATTTTACCTTTTTTTTCAATTTCCATATCCTAATAGAGACCAAAAGTGGCGCATGCATGAGAAAATAGCCTCTGCAAAATCTTAGCTTAACGTAGGACAACGCGCTTGGAAATACGATCATAAGAGGTCTTCTTCATCGACTTTATAGCCACTCCTTGACTTCCGACCTTCTCGACTTACGACCACCCGGACATACGACCGCCCCAGTTGTACCAAATTTATTTTCAAATTACGTATTTTTGAGCCCCGACATTAGTGATTGAGCTGTGTACTGACAAAAATTTTGTTTGTAATTCTCTTTAAAATGGTTGGCATTATTAAAAGTGAGAATTTTGTGGTGCTGAGAAGAAAAAGACACCCCCAATTTAGATTTTCTATGTATTATCTTCGCATTTTCGACTTACGACCAATTTGACTTACGACCTGGATTTGGGTCCCTAACCCTGTCCTAAGTCGAGGAGTGGCTGTAGTTATTAGGAGTAATTTTGATGCATATTGAAATATTTTAAAAATTATATGAAAAATAAGTTTTTGACTACTAAAATATGATTTTCATCGCTCTGCCGCGGGCAGAAGATAATTACCTATTAAGCTAAGATTTTGCAGAGGCTATTTCTCATGCATGCGTCACTTTTGGTCTCTATTAGGATATGGAAATTGAAAAAAAGGTAAAATCGACCCACCCTACTGCACAGTCTCTTGCACCTAATACCAATATTATTATTACCTGCTCCACCACCTCTAGTTGTTTCTCTTTACCTCTTTTTCTCCCTTAAGAATATTTGCTTCTCCACATACAGTATACTATACTTTTTCCATATACTTATTAAGAATTCCCTAACTTCTCACAATTTTCTACTTCTAAGATTAATTTTTTTTAATTTCATTATCAAGAAGGTAGCTATATGACCTGCAGGTCTCAAATATGCAAACTATGTATAAGTAAAACCTTGATAAATCAGACTTCAATAAAGGTGCTACACTACTTATGAACGAGTTAAGTTCCTGAGGCTTGTTTGAAAGTCCAACTTTACTCTTGTAGATACCAAACATATTGTAAAAAATGAAGAGATTTTGGACAAGCTATACCCTTTAATACAGCCTTAAAAGCTGGCTCACTCTTTTCCTCTTAGGTAATGTTTGTTCTATCTGGAATTTTCTTCAAAACAATCCAGTCTCATCCACATTAAACACCTGTTCTGGCAGGTAACCCCCCTCAGTGATGATGTTTGTATCTCTTAAAGTTTGTAAGTTGAATGTTCTTAAGTAGAGGAGCATCTGTATATAGAAATTTGCCTTTTTATGGTTCTGAGATGCCCTGGTTCCCAGAAATACAAAAATCCATGTTTCAAGAAATTGGGAAGATTAATAAAAACAAATCTTATGAAATGAACAACACTTACTGAATACTGTATAGTGGTCTACTCAGATTTACCATAGGCCTATTTTAAGACACACTTGAGTATGTAAGCAGGCTGGGGCTGATCAGGTGTTGCCGCATTCGTCAGGTTTATTTATTTATTGATTCTGTATTATACTCTCATATGATTGGTCTCTTATGGTTTATGGTCCATGATATTTAATATAACATCTTCAGTAATAGAGAAAAAATACAATGCTGGAAGTAATTTGTAATATGAGTTGAATATAAAAGGATAATCTGTAACAGGTTATTTACTTAAGATGCATTTGTGTGAGAGCTATCAGCAGACTAGTTTACAACAGGGGTCACTATAACACACCGTATAGTATTTGATATGAAGATACCGTCCTATAAACATTATTTACTACCTTTGAGTGTTATATGATGGCTCAATTTGGTTACTTGTACACTTAGACAAACGAATAAACCAGGGTATATACAGATGCAAATACTATACACTACAATATTACTTATTAAGTGATGATAAATACACGATTTATTAAGTGATAATAATACACAACAGTACTGTACTAATTTACTAAGTGTTGAAGACACACAGTGTGGTAAGCCAATCAGCTGTTTGCCCTTTGGAAACAAATGACTCATGGTGTTCAGTGTGGGATTCTTTTTTCAGGAAAATTTATTCTTTTTGGATAATATTTTATCAACCTGGCACCAAATGATCCTACATTATATGAGAATTATGGTGAAATTGCATAAAAAAGTGCTAAAGGAATCTCGGTGGAGAGAGGGGGAGGGAGTCACCCACCCATGCTACCCCCACCTTCCCTCTGTTCCCAAATAAACACTTGTCTTCCACATACAATATACTCCTACACGTATTTGTTCCTATTTTTATTTTTAACTTTATAGTACTGTACAGTATACAGTTTTCTCTTTATTCATAAGACAAATTCTATGGTAACTTATATACAAACTTTACAGTAAATAACAATTTAATCATCTCAGTGACAGCAGTTGTTGTCAACCGGACTTTTCTGTCGGATTTTCAACCCAGAAAGTTCTGTTTCATATTTTTTTATTGTTAATGTAATAGTCTTTCAATAACTTTGTTATATACTTTAAGACCTTAGTTTTTGAAGTGCAGTAATAACATAACATCAACTAATTTTCTTTAAACAGTTCAGATAAGCAGTGTTATCATCGCCACCCCTCCCCTATATTCGTTTTTTTTCCGGACTTTCGTATTTTTCGGATTGGGGTCTGCCCCAATTATTCCGATTTATCGAGGTTCTACTGTATGCACAGTACACAGTAAGGTGATAATCTCTTCTTCTTTTTTTTATGGTTTAATAAATCCTATATATGGCACAAAAAGCTTGAACAAGTATTCACACTAAAGTTAATTAAAAGAAAAATAAGGAACTGACCCATAAATTGCATCTTATGGCTAAGCCTGGATAATGTGATTTATGTTAAAATCAACAAGTCTATGAGTTACCAGTTTGCCAAAGTGTATCACCTGTGATAATGAAAAACAGAAGGAAGCAATCTGTATTAAATTTATCTGAATCCTCTTTGTTTTCTTTGGGACTTAAAAAAAAAAAATAACAAATTAAATCCCTACCTGGTTAACATAGCATTAGCAGCAGAGATGGTCAAGTAAATATAGAAAATGAAGAAATGCTGTTCTGTTTTCTATGACTGAGGAGAAGCTGAGGTACAGATTAAGGGGAAATTACTGTGGTCTAGTGATCTTTCAGGTTTAAATGGCAGCACCCAGAAACCATTTTCACATAAAACTAAGGGATTCAGATACAGTATAAGACAGGAAGATAACTACCATTTTGAGGTAGTCGACCTCCTAAGATCAAATTAGGATAAGATGAATATTGTGGACAGGGCAAAGAAGACATATACTAGACCATTCTCCAAGCAACTGTTCCAAAGCATTTCTATATTTACAAGTTTCCTCTACATAAGATATGTTTATTCTTGATACATACCTGGACATTCACATCGCAATTGTACTTAAGAAGTACTTTAACACAGGCAGCATGTTGCTTGTTGACAGCCACATGTAGAGCAGAACACCTTCCTTTATTCACCACATTAATTGATGCATTTTTCCGTAATAACAACTCCATGATCTCAGGCTGATTCCTGTGGCATTAAAAAAAGGTGTAAAGTTACAGAAGAAACTTATATGAAGAGACACACATATTTCATTAGTACAAGATGTATGGGATAACCGAGGGCTGGACAAACGCTTTGTAAGACAAAATCTCCCTGGACAAAAATCCCTTAGTATTGTACTGTACTGTATCACTGCACTGCATTATATTCACAGAACATATTTATCTTTACCAGTACAATATACAAGTACAGTAACCCTTAAGCCCAGGGTTAGGGTGCTGCTGGCAGTTCCCCATATGGAGATAAATCAGGAAACAAATAAACTTTTCAAAAAGTTAAAAAAATAAATAAAAAAAATAAATAAATAAAAAATGGGCAGGAAAATAGGCTGACGTTCTGGAACGTCGCCCGAGGCCTAAGGGTTAAACCGTACAGTGTAATGCTGACCTGGAAGTTCACCTCTACTGTTTCATAACAAATAATTTGAACACCTGATTCTCCTCCAAAGGATATCAATTAGGCATATATACAGATGCACCAAATAGTCAGGAATAGCAACATCATCTGTCCTTAGGTATACTGTATATGGTAAAAGATATAAAGCTAACAAACAACCCTTACCCAAAAGCAGCATAATGCAAAGCCAAATCTCCATCATCATCAGCAATATCCAATGAAGCCTTGTGATCAAGTAACAGACGAACAATGTCCATATGACCTTGATGACAAGCAACCTGCAAACACGTTTTGCCAGAGCTTCGTCCATCTACCTGCAAGTCACAAAACACTGCAGCATTATCAAAATGATAACAAACAATTAAAAACATTTTTTTTCCTACAATCCATCTTATTAAAACATTATTTAAATCTGACATCGAAATACATATTTCTCTATTCTCCTCACTATAAAGAGACTAACATTAATATCCCCATCTTTCTTCAACTTACACTAAGTTTAATAAAGTGAACAAGAAGACCTCCCACATTAAAACAACACTTTGTATTTATTCAACAACTCTTCCAGAACCTCCCACTTCTTCCCTTTCATTCTGTCTCATTACCTTTCATGTTACTCTTGTGCACTTTCAATGTTTTTCCTCCTCACCATATACCCAAACTTCATATCACAAATTTCATTTTTGTTTTAACAATTTCTTTATCTACTCTTTATCTTCATCTCTCATTCTCATCTATGGTACTTGTTGAGACTGACCTTGTCTGGGTGTTTAGCGAGGAGGTGAGAAACAGCTTGAGTGTGTCCCTGTGCAGCCTCCCTCACAAGCTGGTCTACTACTGAAGTGTCTTGCTCAGTGTCGAGTAATTGATGCAAGATCGATGCTAGAGGACCTGCACCTAGAAAAAGTCATGTTCAGTAATACCTAAACAAGTGAGTAAAGAATAAATGCTACACTCACATTCCATTAAATAAAGAACTTTTTTTTTTACTAAGAATTGCATACATTTTACTTGGATACAGTAGATATGTCATATATTTAATAGGATAATATTAATAATAGAGAAGTAGCAAGACATAAATCGTGCATAAAAATACCACTGGAGGACTGAAGTAAGAAATCACATTTTATGAGTGGTGAAGAAATAATTAATATGTAATATCCATATCACTAAGTCACCCTTGGAAACCTACCTCTCCCAAGAGGGTCTCCTGATACCAAGAGATGGTTTAATCTGAAGCTAATTAGTTACAAAATTATATAAATTTACTTTTTTTTTTTGGTTAAGAATTGACCCTTAAGCCCTGGGTTAGGGTGCCGCTGGGTGTACCCCCCCCCCCCACGCGGGGGTAAATCGAGAAAAATCAGCCTTTCCAATTTTTTTTTGTAACTACTTTTAAATGATAAAACAATAAAAGATAAGTAAGAACAACTATATAATGACCCTCTAGAAACTTCCCTGGTAGCACAGAGGGAGGGAGACAAGGGGACAACTTGTTGACGGCGAGCACTCATGGTCACCTACGCTCTTCGCAGCTATTTTTAGATTGCCTTTGTGTCCAGGATTGCCAGTAAAGCATTTATTTACAGATGACCATTACACCCGTGGTGTAATGGTCATCATTCTCGCCTCGCAAGCGAGCGGACCCGAGTTCGATCCTCGGGCAGGGTGAAACTATGGGCAAGTTTCTTTATGCCATTTGCCTCTGTCTAACCAGCAGTAATTGGGAACCTGGATGTTAATAGATTTGCGGATCGTATTCCGGGGTAATGGTTAGCCAGTGCAGTTGGCGAGTTGTCTGGTCTTCTCGGACTATTCCTTGACACTGGGTCATGCAACTCGTTAACTTGGGGTGTGGTTGTTGTGTTGGCGACAGCTTTTACACCTTAAGCAAATTCACGCCTAGGTGGCCCTTGGGCCAGACATCCTCGTTACACGAGGGGCAACCATTATATTTACTATCATAATACTTATTTGCTATAAATAATTCATTTAGAATATTTTATTTGCATTATTTTTCATAAAAAGTGCTCGGCAACACACACAGTCGGTCGCCAGGCTGTCTGACTGTATTTGTGTTTGGTAGAGCAAGTAATACATAAAATAATAATAATTTCACAAATAAATACATTTATACAGTAACATAATCATACTAGTATTATTTTCCAGTGATTCTACACTACGATACAACTACACTACTTGTAGCAATATTACTTTGATACAACATGATAAAATGGGCAATATTATCGATTACTGATATACTGTACTCAGGTAAGGCTTGTCTAGTAATAAACCACATGAACCCCTAATAAAATATACAGTACAGTACAGGGTAATTTTGTTATAATCTACTTAAACTTATATGTCAACCATCAACCATGTACAGTTCCAACAAAAGAGTGGTGGATGAAATATCGAACAGTTGCCTCCATTTATAATGGGTACAGTGGTTGGCATGCTTTGTGAGAAGTGGCACCACTCTTTGTTTACATCAGAGTATAACAAGCATAATTCCCCTAGCCCACTTTCATTCCTACCCTCTTCACCTCCCCCGAGCCCGTCACCCTCCTCTCCCACAAGCTCCAGGTTCCCCACCCCACATCACGAGCGAATGCTTCGGACGTGGATTCATACTCCCGTGGTTCACAACTCTCGGAGATGAGGCTTGACAAAACTGACTGTAGCAGGTGGAACTGTAGGAGGCTGTACACTCTCCCCAAAAAGTATCGGCCCCTTTTCTCATCGATACAATGTGTCACAATGGACGAATATTTTTTATCACTAACTGTGGTATCTAGTATCTGTGAGGTTGCCAGTTATTATTTCTGAAATTTTTTGTAATTAGGGTGAATCACCGTGCTCACTCTTTAGTAAAATAATATGATATTAATGTAGCAAAGATATATCAACTGCAGTCAAATAGTGGGCATTTTCTGCTGGAAATACATGACCAACACTAGTACCCGAGACTCACTGGGAAACACAGCTTGCACTGACAGATATGGAGTGTGATGGGAAATGCCAAGCCGCCTTGCTTTCGCCTTGTTGCTGAGGCATATGTCATGAAGGGCGATGATACTGCCTTGTGTTGCCTGTGCTGTCTCCATAGTGACTATCAATCCCATGGGAGGACTTGACGACATTGTCTCATAGTGTGTAACACATAATGTTCCGTTGCAACCAGAGCTGTCCTAGGGTACGGTAACTGGTGCAACCGCCCCGGGCACTGCGCTAGTGGAGGGAGGGGGGGCCTTACCTCACCCAACATCAGAATTAGTGACCTCGTTA